CTTTTTCACTTCTGTCTGGAGTTGGTTGGAGCTTCTTCAGATTCTATCCGCATCTTGTGCACTACTTCTTCAATGGGGAAAATTTAAAGAGCTGACAAGAACATTTGCGAAATTGAAGGCGAATCCTTTCGTGACAATAAGCTTTCACCAAGTGTTAATGCTGTCCGAAGCTGAGACTGCTGTGATCTGCATAACAACTGCCTTTGCAACCTTACGTCTTCTGAAATGCTTTTATTTTAATGCGCAAGTCATAAGGTTTTCTTTGTTTATGAGACGCCGCTTCACGTCTATCGCGTCTTTCTTTGCAATATTCTGTGTCATGTTTACCGGGTTCGCTCTATTAGGAGTTATTGCATTAGGCTCTGAATATTCAACTTTCTCATCTTTCACCACAGCTTTTGTGACTCAGTTTCTCATGATAATCGGAAGTACTTCTATGATAGATGAATTGGAGGAGGCGGGTCCATTTATTTTTGGCCGGTTGTTCAGTTTCAGTTTCATATTTACTACCGTGATAATCACTACAAATATGTTTGTTGCCGTCCTCAATTTTTCCTACTCGAATTGTTGCTCCGACGATCTGGAACTACAGGAAGAATTAGACATGTCAAATTTCATTGTAAAACAAATATTGAAAAAGGTTTCCGGTTACACCATTAAAGAACAAAACGGAACATCAAAGAAACTGTTTCTGGACTTATCAGAAACCGAAGAATCGGGAGAGACAGAGGATTTGTGGAGATCTAACTGGTCTTTCTCAGTTGCCAGATTTACCCCTATTATGCATCGAAGTCGAACAGTCCCGTTCCGTAGTCACGGAAATGTTGATGACGGGGAAACAATGGTGCATCGCGATATCAATAACGCGCAATCCTTGCTTTGGGAAACATGCAAAGCTGATGAAAAACTCCGTCATTATGTCCCTCGAACTGTTTACACAGACATTGACGAGGAGTCGATAACAGGACAAAACGAAACAAGCAGTACTGGAAACCCCGAAAAGGTCTCCTTGCCCTCTGGTGACGTTTGCTTGGCTCCTTTAAATGGAGACAAAGGCGACAGGCTGAAAACAGGATGTGTGTTCTTAGTTGACGACATCATTTGTGGAGCTGATGGCTATGACGATGACTATGACGACATCGATGTCAAGAGTGCCAAAAATGATCCCTGGGAGGAGTTTTTGAAGCTACTGGACGAGGATTGCTTTGATGACTCTTCATCAGTTGTTCAGTTACGTTGATCCAGTCCGGGGGGAGGGGTACTCCCCTATAAAAGTGACGGGGGCGCTCGTCGTACCTTTTAGGGGTTTAAATTTGTTGATTGGTACCGCCTAGGGTGCTAAAACCTAAAATAACTGCTGCCAGGGTTGTCTTTGTACCTTTTCGGGGCCTGGAGTAAGGTTATCGCCCGGGGTTATCAATCTGAAAAATGTATTTGTGCCAGTTATATAAATTTGCTGTTGATGAATAGGCCATTTGCATGATGGCATCATTTTACTAGCTGCTACCTCCTGAATCCTTCGGGTTTTTGCTTTGTTGTGCAAATTAGCGCTATTGTTATTTAAACCACGCTGGGATTACCAAATTTAAATGTGAAAGGAAAAACGAAAAGAATTCTGGTCTTAGTAGTAAAATGACGCCATCGTGCAAATGGCTAGCCTGCAAAAACATCCGTTTCTCCTCGCTCTTCGCTGCTGGGGACGTTTCGCACGGAGGAACGTCTGCGACTCAGCGACAGAAATTCCACACTGATGACGCAAATCAATGTTAACATAATAAATCCGGTAGTCATGGGGTTCCAAATGTGAGTATATTCAATTTTAGGTTTCTCCTGGTCGATTTTGGTAGAGTGTTGTGTTCATCTGCGACAAGCTCCAGCAAAACTCAAATGCTTGTTCTAGAGAAGACTATATTCCACAAATATTGACTGTTTTGTTGAAGACTCATCGCCTTTACATTTGACCTTTGTGGCCTTTTTTCTTTTGTCTGTCATTCGTAAACAAAAGCTAAAACAATGTATCTACTCCGTCGACCAATCAGGGCTTGTGACCGGATTCTGGACATATTTTATGTCATCAGTATGGAATATCTGTCGCTGAGTCGCAGACGTTCCTCCGCCCGAAACTTCTCTAGTGGCGAAGAGCGTGGAGAAACGGACGTTTTCGCAGGCTAGCAAATAGCCTATTGGTAACTCTTAGGAGTGGAAATGAATTTAGGACAAGAACGTAAAACAAATTTCTGGTACCTTTTAGGGGTGTTCTCGAAATTTTCCGACGAGCACTCCCGTCACCCCCAATCGATCGCTGATAAGTTTGAGCTATTCGAATGATATATTCGATTTTTTCTTGAACGTTTGCTTTGCTCTTCGTTTTGGGAACGGTTGTTTCTATTATGTTTTTTACAAAGCAGAAGACCAACCTTTTGCTTTTATGATGAGTGATGAAGCCATATGAAAGGAACAGTAACTATAACGATCTAGGTAACACCTTTATTTATTCAAAGGCGTTACCTAGTTCTTTTGATTAATTATCCTTGCAAAAGGCGATGTACCTTCAGAGCAACCACAATGATCGATTTGAGAAATCACACAGTTTTCTAAAACTTACCAAGAGATAACATCATGTAAATTAATGTTATTGCTACTTCAATTACGTCAACTTTTAAGCTTAGTGTTGAATACTGACCGTTTACTTAAAACGAAAAATTGTCAACAGAAAAGAAATGAAAAAAACTACATTGAGCGACGCAGATACGTCTCACAAAAAATTATCTCGGGCATCCAAATTTAAGAAAATTGTCAGCCTTCAGCAAACAACCTCTTAAAGCAGGTGCAAATCAATGAGCCAAGCGATTTGATCGAGTAACATTGGTCAGCGAATTCCCCACTCCGACATTTTGTCAATTAATCTTATAAATAAGTTCTTGTGAGCTTAGGAATCCTTCCAAGACCATGAAGACGGCTCCCAACAACAGTGCACGATGAAGCGTTAACCATGTATTTTATAACGTAAATTTAAGAGAAAACTTTTGAATTTGTTATTAGACAGTAGGGAAAAGAGGTCAGTGTTGTTGTCAGTTGTCATCTGCGCGAGCTGTGCATCTGCTATCGCGTGTGCAAATCATTCTTTGCACAGTTGTTTCTTTCAAAAAAAATTTTTCGGTGAATTAATAGTTTTCAGGCACCTCAATATGGATTTTACAATCTTTTTGAATAAACTTTCTGTCAGTTTCAACACGAAAACATAAACAATGTGAGGTAAAAAAATATAGTCATGCAGACATTGACGCGTACTGCTTTGAGCACGCGCTACAATAATAAAATTTTAAGTTAACTGCTTGAACTTTGGAAATCCCTGCGAGGTTTAAATAATAAAAGCCCTAATTTGCACAAGAAAGTAAAACCCTGAAGGATTCTGGACGTAGTAATGAAACGACGTCATCGTGGAAATGACCTATTGTTGTTTCTGTTATGTCTTTGACAGAGCAGATGACCAACCTTTTGCTTTTATGATAAGTAATGAAGCCATATCCAAGGAACAGTAATTACAGATCTAGGTAACACCTTTATTTATTTAAAGGCGTTGTCTAGTTCTTTAATTTTTTACCCTTGCAAAAGGCGATCTACCTTCAGAGTAACGCAGTGATCGATTTGAGAAATCACACAATTTACTAAATTTTATTAAGAGATAACATCGTGTAAATTAATGTTATTGTTATCGTGGCTAGAATTGCACCACTTCAAATACGTTAACCATTTAAGCTTAGCTCTCGTGTTGAATACTGAACGTTTACTTAAAACGAAAAATTTTCAAGTTATTGTCAACACAAAAGAAAAGAAAAGATATTGTGAGCGACGCTAATACGTCTCAAAAAAATTCTCCCTGGCATCAAAATTTAAGAAAATTGTCAGCCTTCAGCAAACGACTTCAAAAAGCAGGTGGGAATCAATGAGCCAAGCGATTTAATCAAGTAATCAGCGAATTCCCCACTTGGACAGTTGTCAATTAATGTTGAATTAAAACACATCTACGAAGGATAAATTTGGTAAGGAGGGAGGGAAGGACGAACAAACGGACAGACTGACTTAACATCACGCGTCAAAATACGGCAGAGATAAGCAAATACCAGGTTCTCTTCCCTATCTGGCTCAGCAAAGGCTCCGCCATCAAAATGACTCGGGTATATTAATTTCCGCCCGACCCATAGGAGTCTAGACCTTTACGTATCTCTTCTTAGGCTCCGTCTCTCGAAAAGACAAATCTTATCCTCATCGGAAGTCTTACCAACAGATCCGTTTTGATTTTTAAAACAAATAAGCAAAAAAAATAGTTTTTGAATAATCAAGGGAGTTTTTGTCATCTTTAGTTCTTCAAACCGCGCCAAGCAGTTTCACTTTTGAAGAGGTGAAAAGTCTACACGCCAGTGCGTTTCGGTTTTGAGATAAATAACGTCCCTTTTTTGTGAACCTTTTTCAAAGGTCGTCACTTTTAGTGCTGCTTAGCTTATTATATTCTCCATTGTCACGCTTTCTGTTGGCTCGCTTTTGGAGGAAGTTTACGGAACAAAGGCCCTCTTTTAACTGGAAACGTTTTTATATGTGATCACCCCGTGGACAGACAAGTGTCAAAACCACAGCTCATGTTCACGATTATAATTTTCACATCTTTTTTCCTGAAATTTATTGTCCAAAAACAAATTTTCCTTACTGAACTTCTATTCAGTATTAATATTGTTGTCTCCATGGTGACTTGCACATATTGCTTAACAAAATGACAGACACTTCCATTGGACGTTGGCAACACCTGTCCTAAACAACCGGCACTGAATCCTTTAAATATCAATAAATATAGACAGCCTTTAATTTTTGAAGTTCAGGTGTCAAAAGCGGATATTAGGATTGGACTGCTTTCCTGTTTCGAGGTTCATTGAACTAATCATATTGTTTTCTTTAATCAGAACGAGAGATTATTTTTTTAAACTCCCATGTGATTAGCTGCAAAGATGAAAGGATGGCTTTATCTTGTCCTTTTTTGCTGCATAGGATTTTTCCTACAATGTGTCGAAATGAAAAGGGAGAAGAAATATGTTTCTTCTGACGTTGATCGTGTGCTTTTCGCGCTTAAAAAAGCAGTGATGTTTTTTGAGCAAAGCGGAAATAATTTGAACTTGGACGCGTACTTTGGGCTTCGAATCGCTCAAGGTTGGTAAACGTTTCTTTATATATTACCATCCTACCTGTTCAATATCGTGCTTTGAGTAAAACTGTGAAGTGTACCATGAGACTAAGTCTACCGATAAGCCAAAACACATTTACCTTTTCTTAGCTGGCTTTCAGAATGATACCTTATATCAAAATTACAATCACAGCAGACTGAAGCCTGTTAATGCCTTTTAGACCGCTATAACTTAACCTTTTTCTCTGACGAATTCATGACAATGTGAGCTATCAAACATTTTAGCATTGGATAAGTGCCTGGGAAGAACGAACATCAAAACACATACATTTCACGTTGGATCTCTATTTTATAATGATGCTACTTTTAAAAAGAGACTGTTCAGAATGTTTATCGTGGTGATTGCACTTCTAAAACTTGTTACGTGATTAATTTGCATAGGAAACCTTCTTTAGAGGCCCAATACTAGCCTGGTCAGTTGAAGGTATAAAGAAATTTAGTATAATATTTTAACCTATAAAATAGAATCAGGTTGTCAGGTGCAACTTAAAGAGAAATGCTGAGTCTTGAAAAAGACCTACCATCCACAAAGATTAGATGTCAAAGCTCTGGCATATTTATCTAAACTAGTTCCCAAAAAGGAAGGAAAAATATATCTATCTATATCAAGATTTTTATGTGAGCGATTCACCTTATACTTGCAAAAGAGAGGATTTAATTCGGCTTCATTTAAAAATAAATAAAATAAATTATTTAATAGGGGACAGTTATACTGAGTAACCCAGAAGTTACTTAAGACCAGAAAACAGTGGCGATCCAGGGGGTCGCCTAAACTAAAGTGAGGCCTGAACGGCCGGCAAAATTTTTTTGAGACTGGGACCACCTGCGCCCCAATCTTAGGATCCGGATGACCACCCCCCACCTCCCACCGAAATTTTAAAAATATCTTTCACTTCACGGACGCTCAGACAACCCGAAGCCTACCTCTTTAACATATGAGGCTACCAGTTACAGTTAGCGCTCGATCGCGACAATCTCAGGGAAAAAAAAAAAGGACTAGGATCAACGCGTTAGATCCAGCAGATGTCTTGTAAGATTTACATGCTCTGACCCCTCGGCAAGCAACTATGGCCTTACTATAAGGATGCAGTAGGCTACCAAGCTAGAGTTAATATTTAGTGTATTGGCGGCATTCATCAAAGGCTAGGACCACTACTTGGTCCTTTCTTATTCGCTTCACCCTCTAGGCTTTCATAATTCCCCTCTCATGATTGAGAAAACAGCCGACATTTCGAGATGCTACCACTGGTTTCCCCGCGAAATGACGTCTGAGAAACGTGGGCAGAAATTCCATACTGATGACGCGACACTACCTAGATCTGGGTAGTGCTTCTGATTGGCTGAAAATTTGCTGTAACCAATCAGAAGCATTACCCAGATCAAGGCAGTGTCGCGTCTAGGGCTTTCCACAAGTTCTTCGGCAACTTTTTGGCAACTTCTCGTATTTCAAGCAACCTTTTTCGTTCCTTGCATTTCTTTTGCATTCTGAGCAATTTCTCTCGTTACCTTCTAATTCTGAGATATCAGAGCTGCTTTTAGTGCTTAAATTGGCCTTTCTTCCATATTTCACTGTGTTTAAGTAGACAATTTATGAATTTCCCGTAAAAAAGGAGCCAAATCCTCCCATCTGGGGCAGATCATGGGGGCAAGATAAAAGAAGCCGGGCTGCTAGGTCAGCGGTTTTTAGAGAAAATTCAAAATGGTGGACGAAGATTCACACTCGACTGACTTAAGTGTCTCGGGTGAAAAAGGTCATTCAACAATTTTATTGGCTCATAACATTTTTTGGTTTTAATTGAGGACGAAGTTATTTAGCAACGCAAGTTATGCCGCAAAATATAATTGCACAAAAATGCTTAAAAATCTTACTTTTGTTGTAAAATAAGCATATTTTAGCATCAGGCCATAAAAAAATTTGGTTTTTTTTCGAGCAACTTTTAAGCAACTTTCGTTACAAAAAGCAACTTTTAATTGTTTTTTGAGCATCTTTTGAGAAACTTTTCGAGAAATTACGGGATACTTTTTGGAAAATCTCGAGCAACTTGTGGAAAGCCCAAGTCGCGTCATCAGTATGGAATTTCTGCCCTCGTTTTTCAGACGTCATTTTGCAGGGAAACCAGCTGTGGAGTAGCGAAATATCGGCTGTTTTCTCAGGCTATAAATGCATAAAAACTGACTAACGGAATTAACTTTCTTTCTCATGTTCTTCATTTTGACAAGGTAATTTCATCGCGTTAACTACGCGTAAAAAACGTAAAAGCTTTGGCTACGGTTCTGAGATTTACAGGCAACTTATTCAACTTGAGAAACTGGTTTCTCAAATCGGATCAAAATCGGTAAGGACACTACAGCACGTAAGCCCAAGGTACTTCAGATTGGTTGGGTCGACTGTGACACAGCCCTGGAAAACAGCGAAGCGATTCAAGCGAGTAAACCCGAGTCTCGTCACTGAAATTAATATAAAGATACTACACAACGATATACTGCAGGATTATAAGCCTTGTTTGGCCAAGTTGCTTGGAAGTCCGGTGTATGGGAGCAAGCCTTGCAACGTGACTGAGGATTGTTGGGAAGTGATGATGCGACCGGGGGAGATTGGGTACGTGCTAACTCATCAGGCTCTTTATTTCATGTTTGGCGAGCAGAAAGGTTAGTGAAATTATCATTGTATACAAACTAGCCACAACAAACACAAACAAATACAAAAGGTAACGGAAAAACTAACAAAGATAATGGGTACCTGTACAGACGTGCTGCAGCTGTCACGGCAGCGCTCTTTTGGTGCCAAAGGCAACTTTTGTTAGGAAGCTCTTGTCAGAAAACTAGCAAAGAATATGCAAATTAGTAAACCAACTAGTTTGACAATCTAGTCTGTCAAATAATAATAATAATAATAATAATAATAATAATAATAATAATAACAAATAAATATAAGTATGCGCTAAACAGAGGCAGCTGTATTTTGTACAAATGTTAGCAACGCAGAATAAGCGTTCTTTCAAAATGTTTTACACTTTTTAAATTGCTTAATACGGTAATAAAGAGATGGCCATACTAGTTGACAAAAAGGGATGAAATTTAGTAGGAAAGTTTTATCGGAGAGGCGTCGCGGTTTTTCACAACTTTTGTGCGTCTTAGTGTTGTTAAAATTGTCAAACGTGAAAAGATAGGCCGCGGTTCCAGCCGATCAGAATTACTTTCATTGTAAATATTGATTGATTAAAAGTTCAACGCGTGATTTAGTGATTGAGTGGTTGACAGGTTGCTTCAGTAACTTTTCAAAGAAGATAAAGGCGTCCAACAGCTCGTTGGAATCTGTGTACGACAAAATCTGCTCAAACATCTACAGTCAACTGCTAATGATGGAGGGAATTCGCAAGATCAAAAGAATAGACGCTGATCTTATGATGGAACAGAGTGTAGTGTGTGGATTACTAGGATATTACGAGTTCTTGTCGCCAACACGGATGGAAAATTTGATTAAGTGGCAGCAAGCGAGTGGTTGTTATGGAGACATTAAAGAAGAGGACAATTCAAATGGCAATCACAGCAAGCAGACCATGAGAAAAATTCTCATGGAGAAAGAATTGTCAGGTAAGCTTTTATTGAGTCGTGCCAATAAGCACCTACAATCCTGGCCAAAAGGTTTTAGGACACAGCCTCTTTTTTACGTGCTTTGTATGGAATTTGCAGCTAACCGGCAATATAGCCACCTCAAGCAAGCTCTCCATTTACCGCCGCAAGTGAACGCGCGAGCGAGAGGCGAAGCCCCTCGCATTCGCCGCTCCTTTTGCGTGTTGCTCTCGCGTGACTTCTCGCGATTCCCCTAAATGGAGTGCTTGCTCGCAGGCTACTGGAAATACCGATCATAAACACGGCCTTTACACGGTTTCTCCCCTCTTCCAGAACAAAGATGTGGCCCATAATTTGGGCAAAATTTGAAAAAGAGTGTTTGACTAGTAAAACCCAACACTGTCCAGGAGGAGGAAGGGTTAACTTGAATTGCAATTTTCTTTACATGAAAGGCAAAGTGTCCCAAACGTTTTGTCCAGGATTGTACTTCACAAGTGAAATAAATACTTAGTATTGTTTTTCGTTTCACATAAAAATGTTTCTGCAACTCAGCGGAAGGAAAAAAATATATTAATTCATAGTTACATTATTTACGAGAAAAGTTTCACACGCACTGCAAGTACTTTGGCAGAAAAAGACCTCCACGTATCTGATTTTTTTCCCCAGTAGAAACCGGATGATAAAATATTGAGTTAGCAAATGAGACGCTTCAAGAATGCCGTATCTTGCAACCCACCTATCAAATATATTTAGGCAGTAGATCACCTTTTTTCAAAACACTGTTAATAGCAGTCACTTCAATGGTCGCCAATAGACATTTTAACAAGATCGAAGAATGAAACCATTTTACCCAACTGGAGGCCAAAATATCGACAACATTCGAAATTAAATCCAAATTAAGCAACCCTAATTATCAATCCTGAAAATTGTGTTAAAGTAAATGAAAATGATAAAAACAAT